AGCTAAAGGCTTAAACCCGGTGCATTTTTGTAGCCATAGGATTAATCTGGAATCTTCCCATTTGGGAGGAAATCAGAAAGAATATACTCAGTCCAGATATAAGACTAAATCTGGTTTTGATTGTAGGAATTACAGATTTTGTAGCCAATGCAAGAATCTAACTTCAGAAGCCATGGTTTGGGGTCATCCTGCAGGCAGCAATGAGGACCTACTTGAGGAGCCACTTCTCCCACACCACCTGGTATCCAGTGCATTAGTATGGTTTATTGATTCTTACCTGGCAGGCTACATTTCAATCACTCCACTAGAATAAAGGGGGTCAAATATATGGTAAAGGAAGATGATTTGTCTTTTGAGTGTGGGCACAAAATATAATCGATAAATCATGTATCATGGAAAACAAACAAAACAAAAACCTGTTATGGGTGAGAGGAAGAAGTGGATTTGTAGGTCAGGTCTCTTGATATTCATTCTACTGAGCTCTTCACTATACCTTGCTGGGCCACAACAGTGTATTCTCCTTGTGTATGTACAAAGCCAGTACTTCTGGAGCCTGGTTTAAAAAGAATGGTGCTAAGGTTACTAGAATGACCTGTTGGCCTGAATACTGTCAGAAGCCCTGTCTTTTTGTGTTTCAAAGTGTCATAACACTTCATAGCACTATTGCTTTTCCTACCACAGGTTTGGCACATGAATAAAGGCATCATTAGAAATCACAGTTCATGGAAAACAGAAGGGTGCTCTATTCCAAATCTATTGATAGAGAGGCACTCACCTGTCCAATAAATTCACTTTAACTAACTAAATTTAAAGGTAACAGCATCCTTGACTAGGTACATTAGTCAGTGAAAGGAAATTGGATATCACTTCTTAATTTAAGAACTGAAAGTCCTGGGCAGGAGACTGATTTCTAAAGTGTTACTTGGGAGGCTGGTTTCTTAAATAAGCAACTGCACATTAATACTCAGGTCTCCAAGCATAGCCTGATTTTTCCCAAGTGTGAAGATGAAAGGACCTCCTTAATGTGAACACTGCATGTCTTTGTAAATTAGGTTTCCTTTTCATGTCCACTTCTCAAAATAAGATCATAACATTCACCTAAAGCTCACAGTGTGGAGGTGAAAGATGTGGGAGGCGGGGCCAAAGTGGGGAGGAGGGCTACATTTGACACATTCTTTGTATATGAGAAGAATTTGCTTCATGGTAGATTTGTGGAAAGAAATACAGCCTGTCTGATAAGATGTGGCACATTTCAGATTTCAGATAGGGAAGTGGGCGTGTGGGCAGGGTGCCATTGTTTGCCCCTTATCCTACACAGAGCTTTGGGAACTCAGCTCCATATGCCACATTGGGTTACTTAGGAAGACAGGTCAGACTGCAGTGTCCACATTCTCATTTCTTCCTAACTTTCCTACTTTTGCCTCAGCTGCACTTTCCAGTAGGTGGGGAGAGATTCAAAACTTTTAGGACTTGCTATGGCCCAATTAGTATTCACTGATAAAAAAGGACATGCATCCAATGGGAAGGAATATTTCACAACTGTGAGTTGCAAGTAGACAAGTTACAGTGAAAGATGTGTGAAAGATTTTGATTTCAGGTGCTAGTTCTGGACCAGGTGCTGGTCAAGAGAATGTGTCCTGTGCTCCTGAATGTGATGACTAAGAACATTTTGATCCTGGTGGAATAGACTTTCATGTTGATGTATAATGTTGAATGTACTTATAGAATATCTAAGTTATTTTTATCTTGCATTATTTGCTTTGGAAGTGATTGGAACATAACTCCCCAGTACAACCAGGCAGCCCCCTAGCCTAAATCACCCTACTAGACTGGTACCAGTTAGGGCAAACTCAGAGAATGCAGATTCTTCATTTGAAATTAATATTAGCCCAAGACAAATAGCATTACATAAACACACATGAAAAATTCAGTATCATACATTCCGAAGCCAAATGGAATACAGTTGACCATTGAATTATGTGGGGTTGGGGCACTGACCTTCCCTCATACAGTTGAAAATCTGTGTATCACTTTTTTATATTTTTAATATGTTTTTATTGATTTCAGAGAGAGAAAGGGAGAGGGAGAGAGAGATAGAAACATCCATGATGAAAGAGAATCATTAATTGGCTGCCTCCTGCATGCCCTCTACTGGGGATCAACCCCAAAACCTGGGCATGTGCCCTGGCTGGGAATCAAACAGTGACCTCTTGGTTCATGGGTCAAAGCTCAACCACTAAGACACACTGGCTGGGCTATGTATAACTTTTGACTCCCTAAAAACTAAACTATTAGTAGCCTACTGTAGAGTGAAAGTCTTACCAATAACATAAACAGTCTATTAACACATATTTTGTATGTTATATACATATACATAATAAACTTTTGAACAAAAATAGATACAGAGGCAGAGCTGCCTCGAACAGACTGTCGAACTACAGCGGGAAGGCCGGGGAGGGTTGGGGGGCGGGGGTGGGGGGTAAGAGATCAACTGAAGGACATGTATGCATGCATATAAGCATAACCAATGGACATAAGACACTGGGGGGTAGGGGAGGCCGGGGGATTGTCAAGGACGAAAAAAAAAGGGAGACATATGTAATACTCTTTGTAATACTTTAAGCAATAAAAAAAGGAAAAAAAAGGAAAAAAATAAAAATAAATAAATAAATAAATAAATAAATAAATAAATAAATAAAAAGAATAACTAGTATGAATATTAGACTCTAGATGCTCTTTCACAAATTGAGGCTATGCTACTACTGATTCTAGATTTTTTTTCTAATTCAAGAATTTATTTGTATATGGAAAACTTTCCCAACTATACAAACTGTCATTTATGCCTTTATAAATAGATAAATAATTTAGTAAATATTATTGTGACCATCATGAGAAATCCAGAAGCAAGATTTTCTGTTAGTAGAATGGTTTGCTAGTCTTGATATGAAGTTTTCTTCCATTCACTTCAATTAATTCACCATTATTGAGTGCTGGGCAGTGTACAAAATCTAGTCTGAATTCTAGGGAGCTATGGAGGTACAGAATGACAAAGATATAATCCCTGTCTTCACAAGCTTTTTCTACTATTTTTCCTAAAGTGTACAATCTATACATTCATCTGGGCTATGTTGACTATGTTTTCGAGGACTGGGAATTTGCCTCTCACACTGGAGGTGATATTGCATAAGCTTTGAAATCCAACAAATAGGTTTAAAGTCAGATTGAATCTACCACGCATTTGCCTTAGGCAAGTCACTTGACCTCCCTGGGCCTCAATTTCCTCACCTATAAAATGGGAGTAATAACATTTAGCATAGTATCTGGCACAAGGGAGACATATGGTGACATTTATACTTCTTCATATAGAAGTTCATTTAGGCTCCTCTCTGAAAGTGAAAATATAAAAAATCTACAAATAATTTAAGCAAATTATTTAGAATTGAGATAAGAAAGCTGATGCCATTTTTCTATCATTGCTGTATGAGTGTAAAAGAGCTAGCAGTGGTTCTCAACCTTTCTAATGCCGCGACCCTTTAATTCAGTTCCTCATGTTGTGGTGACCCCCAACCATAAAATTATTTTCGTTGCTACTTCATAACTGTAATTTTGCTACTGTTATGAATCGTAGTGTAAATATCTGATATGCTATATGTGTTTTCTGATGGTCGCGACCCACAGGTTGAGAATCGCTGCTTTATAGGGTGGCATCCAATAAATATTTCTGAATGAACAAATGAATAGATAGAGGGAAGGAGGACTAAAAGGGAAGGAGTTAGGTACAGCAGGAGGGGTTAAAGAGCAAGAGAGGAAAGGAGATAGACTTTCTTAAGCACTTATAGTCTTTAATACTCTCAGTACTAGGCTTATTCAATAACATGTGATTCATAGCTGATGATCCTGGCTATTGATTGGTTGGCTTGCCTTCTTCCTTCCCTTGGGCATTTGTAGAAAATCCATATGAGAAACTATATTGACATTTTTAAGAATGCCCTAGCTTAGCTCTTATAACAAAACCAGAGGCCTGGTGCACGAAATTCATGCACAGAGGGGGTGTGTGTCCCTCAGCCCAGCCTGCACCCTCTCCAATCCCCTCGAGGGATGTCTGACTGTCATCTCACAATCCAGGACTGCTGGCTCCCAACCGCTCGCCTGCCTGCCTGCAAGATTGCCCCTAACTGCTTCTACCTGCCAGCCTGATCACCCCCTAACCACTCCCCTGCCAGCCTGTTTGACGCCTAACTGTTCCCCTCCCAACCTGATTGCCTCTAACTGCCCTCCCCTGCTGGCCTGGTCACCCCTAATTGCCCTCTCTTGCCAGCCTGGTTGCCCCTAACTGCCCTCCTCTGCAGGCCTGATCACCCCCAACTGCCCTCCCTTGCAGGCCTGGTCCCTCCCAACTGCTCTCCCCTGCTGGCCTGATCGCCCACAACTTCCCTCCCCTGGCAGCCATCTTTGACCACATGGGGCGGCCATCTTGTGTGGAGTGATGGTCAATTTGCATATTACCTCTATTATTTAGAATGCTCATAAGAATGGGGAGCACTCTGTGCATGGGAGGCTGCTCTTCTATAGCCGATTATTTTACATATCTCTCATACACCCCCTCATCTTCTGCACGATCTCTACCTAAATTTTGCAATGCCCACTTGTGAACTTCTTCATACGTATAAATACCAAGTGCCATTCAAAGGTATCAGTAGCGTAAGCCCTGTGTAGAGGGTCCTCTCAAATGTGCACTCTACTATAGGGGGGAAATTTTTTTTTTATTTTAGAAAATCTCTGAATAGGCTGCACTTAGAGAGCCTCCACCCCCAGTCTTCAACATTCTTTTCCTTAGATGGTTCTTCCCCTTAAAAACATACCACCTTTTTTTGTCACCAGTAATAGCTTAATTCTGCTCTTTAAAAAAAGTTGGGAAAAAAATTGAAGTGCATTACAGAATTTGTTTCTACTATCATATCTGTGAAAATATCATATAATTATATTGCATTTTTTTTCAGATTGGAAAGTTATGTGCCCATTCTCAGCAACGCCAATATAGATCTGCTTATTATCCTGAAGATCTGTTTATTGACAAGAAGGTATTAAAAGTTGCTCATGTGGAACGTGAAGAAACCCTATCTGGCAGAAGAAGGTGAGTCCCCCCGCCTCTATTTTAGCATACAATTAGCAATTGTGTTTTAAGGTAAAAAACCATCGGAGTGAAGCTTTTTAAATACATGTTATTTAGTCCTTCTGAGTAGAGTTTTTGGTTAATTACATTCTATCATCTGTCAGTATTTTAAAAAAAGATATTATATTATATCCAAGCTACATTTAAATGTAAATTGACCATATGTAAATATCAGTATAGCAACACAGGGTGGAATGAACTTCTGTATTCAAGATCTTTATTGATAAAACATTTTTGCTTATGATTTGGTCTCACCATTCCATGGCTTGGTTTCTGGATTTTCCCATTATTAGCAGAGTCCAGGATGAGTTTACCAAAAAGAAAATGGCAAGACACACTCATGTGTATACACATACTGCACACTCTACACATTCTTTTAAGAATGATAAAATGAAAGATCCTGTTCCTATTTATTAAGTTAACAGTTAAGGAACTAAATTAAAGACTTTATTATTCTCTTCATTCCTCCTCCTTACATCCAGATTCCCTCCTTCCCAATTCTTGTTTCATGTTCATAAATAAGGGGTAGAAATTTTATAGGAAGCCCAACACAAATCTAGGAGAATTGCCTTCCCCAAAAGCAATACAGCCAATCCACCACTGGCTTAAGATCTACTCCCTAATGACTTCAAGAACATTGGGAGACATCTGCTTACAGATGGAAGTTTAAGAGACAAAATAAGTAACATCTCAGATATGGGCTAAATTATTTTATTCATATTTACTACAGGAGGTTTTGAAATGGCAATTTCTAGTCATATATGATACAGTTTAGAGTGAGAGAAGACAGTAAGGTAGCTTGAGAGATAGTCCTCCAAAGAAGGATATCAGGAGGTTCCATTTTCTTCTCTTTTGTTGACTTTCAAGCTAATGGATTCCTAGTTTCCCTGTGGCAGCAGTTTTCAAATGTAATTCGAGGACCCAAGGAGTCCCAGCGACCCTTTCAGGAGGTCTGTGTAATCTGCCTTTTGATAACTACATATCTATGTGAAGCTGGCTTTTGTTCATATACTTTAACCAAAAGAACATATTGCAGCTGATTAAATGCAGAAGCCAATGGGAGAACTTATCTGTCTCCTATTATGAGAGGCAGTAAAGATATTTTGCAAAAATGCAAAAACAATATCACTTTTCTTGCTTTTTTCATAAAAATGTTATTTATGTTAACATGTAATGGCTCATTATTGTTAGTTTAAAATCAACAATAAAATTTTAAGTTTTTCTGAGTTTTAATTTCTAAAGCAGCAAATATCAATAGCTATATATCACATAGACAAAAGGTCTTTGGGGTCCACAACAATTTTTAAGAGTGTTAAGGGGCTGTATTAGTTATCTAGTGCTGTATAACAAATTATCCCCGAACCATGATTTAAAACAACAAACATTCATTATCTCACAGTCTCTGTCAGGAATTTGGGAACTGCTTAGCTGGGTGGTTCTCAGTCTCTAAGGAAATTTCAATCAAGATGTTGCTTGGGGCTGGTAGTCATCTGAAGCTTTTACTGAGGCTGGAGGATCTACTTTCAAGGTGGCTCACTTACACATTTAGAAAGTTATATGCTGGTTGTTGGAAGGAAGCTTTTAGTTCCTCACCACATGAACCTCATGTGTATTTTTACCACATGGCCTCCAGCTTCCCCAGAATAAGTGATCCATGGAAGAGAGCAAGGAGAAAGCTGTTATGTCTTTAATGACCTAGTCTGGGAAGTGACATACTCTCAATTCTAACATGCTCGATTTGTTAAAAGTGAGTCACAAATTCTAGTCTACATTCAAGGGGGAGGGAAATTAAACTCCACCTCTTGAAGGAAATAGTATCAAAGAATGTGTGGACATATTTAAACACCACCGCAGGTTCCTGGCACCAAAATATTTGAGAACCATTTCCCTATGGCATGAAGGTTCTCTGTGAAGTTTTTATTTTTCTGGGAAGGCAAAATTAGACCATTTCTCCAGGCTTTCTTTAACCCCTGACAGTCCTTTGTCCATTGTTCACCATTGCTTTCACTCTTTGCCCAAACCAACGAGGAATTAACCTGTCATTGATCTTTAACTGGTAGAAATCCCTTGCATATTAGACTGAAGCAAGTAATTTATATAATATTATATATTAATTATGTATAAATAAAATATAAATTCTAAGTGCAATATACTTTGTATTCAACTCAGCAGAATTTTAGAAACCACCTATTATGTGCCAGAAGATATACTGGGCACTGAAAATCAAGACACAGTCTCTGCTTTCCAAATCCATGTAATGTGGAAATGGACTTAAATACAAATAATTCCAAAACAGTTTTGTAAGTGCAAAAGTATGTCCAGAGTATACAGAAGCAGCCAATTGGAAAAGAGAAAACCTCTCTGCCCAGGGAGTTCTGGTGAAGGCTTCATGGAGGAGGTGGTATATGGATTTGTAACAGAATCATACGCAGAACTTTTTCAAAGTAAACACTCTAGCAGTCCCATTTTGAAATTACCATCAAACTTTGACACTTTTTTTGAGTAAGTAAGAGGTTCAGCAAGGCCCTGCTGCCATGCCTTTTATATTGGGCTCTGTGGAGGGAAAGAGAGGACTCTGTGGATGTTGATACCTCTAGGGAAAAAGAAATTGATAAATGGGTTCTTGGCTGGGTACCCAGATTTGGCATTTTGTTTATATTCATTTTTGAACTTGTTACCCCAAAAGACAAGAAAGGATAATAAGAAAAATTCCAAAGCCTGCAGATTTGAGTAAGTGGTAGGCAGGGCTCCTTTGGGTGTTGGAAACATGAGCCTGACCCATAATGCTTCTCATCTTTTTAGTAAAATGAATCCTTAGAGTCTGATGTGGGAGCCATTCTTTCTGAATTCTCTGGCAGAATAAGAAAACAAAACAGCAAGAGAGTGTCCAATTTCATTTAACTCCCTCAAATAGGCATTGTAAACCCTCTTAGGGAAAGAAAATAATTGGGGATTAAGATGATCTCTGGTTAAATGCACTGCCCCCCTGCAATCTGATGTTATTGAAGGGCTTGTTTTTGCAATGTTAGTACCTCTGTAAATTTCTCAGTATGTTCTGCACAGCATTTCACACTGTCCAGTACAATGTATGTGCTGCCAGCACCCCTCAAACCCATGCTCAAACTCCAACCTCTGTGGTTAAAAATATGATAATTGGAAAGGAACCCTATTGTAGCATTCAGTCTGTGGAGGTTGTGAGCAAGCTGTTTGACTGAGTCTGATTATGAGTTGAAAAGCTCATTGCCTTATTAAAAATAACAGCACACAAAGAAATGCAGGATTCCTTTGGTAGCATTCAGAAGTCATCTGTTTGTTTTGTCTGCCCCCAGCTGGGTAGTGTGCAACACACAACTAATCTTAGAAATAACTTAGTTGAATTTAAGGGTGATTTCATATTCAACTGGTGGCCTGTGTATGGGACCCAATGTCCTTTTAAGGTATCAATATTGAAAATATCTATCATCAAATTTAAAGCGGTGAGGATAGGACAAGATGTACAATAATACAATCAGAATGGAAGAAATGAGATTTTCATAGCCCTTTCCAACTCTAATATTTTCAGCACATCTCAGATGTCAGCCTCTTCCTTCTTTGCCCTTTTGAATGTCTCTTTCACCATTTCCCTTATGATCTGTTTTCCTTGTCATTTGCATATCCTCCATAAAGTTTGGTAGAATACATAAGCAATATCTTTCCCTTCCTGAACCCCCAAATCTGTAGTTGAATAGTCCACCCTGCATTTATATACCAAGCTTCTGGCCCAACTGCTGACCCGTGAAAAAGTCACACAGTCCCTCCACCCTTGTGAAATTACATCTGTGTGTTCCAGCGTCCCCTTCCTGCACTCCTCCTCCTCCCTTTTCCCTCTGACTTGGTCTATAGAGGCAATAGATTAGGTGACACTAGTAAATGACCTAGAAAGAAAAGAACAAAAGCTGATCTCAGCTCCCTGGTCCAAATCAATGCTGACTCGCACTCTCTCAGATTGTTGCTCTGGTTTGGCTAGGCAGCTTTGTAAGTTCAATGGTGCTTTCCACCCTCTGAACAAAACAGCAAAGTATGCCCTGAGTAAATCAATGAGTTTCGGGTCTGGTACAAGTCATTCTGCCCTAAATTGGACTCTACTTCTTTCAACATTTGTCAACACCATATATACGCTAAGTATTGTGTAAGGATTAGGCTGTGATGAATAGGAGGAGCTCCTCCTAGCCTAGTTAGGTGAACATACACACAAATAAATACTTTTCATACACTAGGAGAAAGTGCCAAAACAGTTATGTACAAAAGTATGGCAGCATTATAGATGGGGAAGTTAGCAGCTCTCCTGTGAGAGTCAAGAAAGGCTTCTTGTAAAAGGTGACTTTTGAGCTGAGCCTTGAAGAACTAGTAGAAATTCAACAGACGGACGAGAGAAAAGGTGTTTCTGTCAAAGGGAACAGTGTGAGAAAAAATTATTGGCTAATCTTTGGAATGGTAGAAAATTATAGTTTGGGGTCAGACTGTGAAGGTTTCTCTGCAGCAGCATTAAGCATGACCCTGCAGCATTTCAGTTATAACTATTTTAGTTTATGTGCTTTTGTGTGTTTTCCATTTTTTAAAGATTAATGAGCTCATATTACTTTATATTGAGAGAAAAATAATCTTAATGATAAAGGAGAAGTGTTCAGATCTGCAGTTTGGGATGAAAGGCTATTTCTACTTTTAGTGATTTCCAATTAGTGCTGCTTTGATGCCTGCCCAAGCAAACCATTGCAAGAATGCAAAGGAAATACCTTCCCCCACAACCCAATATGGGAACTCTTCTCTTGAGGATGGTGAGATCCCTCCAGGGAAGATCATGTGCACCCAGCTGCAATATTTCAAAATGGTTCATGCATGCAAAGGGGCCCTGTCCTTTAGTTCCACATTTAACACATTGAATGGAAACCTCTATGAAGAGATTCTTTTTTCCTGAGCAGACTGCTGTAAGCAAGTGTTTGGTTTGTCCTAAGTGATACCCATGGGCCCCACTATTTATGTGTCAAATGGTTTGTTTGGCATGTATGTATTAGAATAAAGTGAAATTGGAATCAAAGAGCATGCCCTTCAATCAAATTATTTTTCCCACCACGGGCAACTAATTGTCCAAAGTTTCTATCTTTTTTTTTCTGGGGACAATTAAGTTAAGCAGACTGCCCTTAGTTCGTGGGTGGAGATTTTTTTGTAGTCTGTCATGGGTTACTAGCACAAAGAAATCTTGACTGAGGCATATATGGGTAATTAGTATGTCACTTAATTTAAAGAAAGACAGTTTCAGCTTTAAAGAAAGAGAGAAAGAAATATTCAACTGATTTCCTTTAAAAATTGTAAGCATGGCAATAGAAAGCGTCATTTAAGAAAACATAAAAATAAAATATACTTAATTCCCATGCCAGAACAAGTTTAGGAAAGAATGGAAATGAAGAGGAGAAATGAGAGAGGCTCAGTAAACTCAGTAGGAGGTAAACTACCCCTGTCACTCTCTGCTGCTTTCTGGCTATGGTATCAGAGGACATTATCACCCACCTGTTGTCACTCTCTTTTGAAAAGCTCATTAATTCCTCAACAGTTTAGAAAGTTTTTCTTCTACCTTGCAAAATAGTATTTCTGGATTTATTTTCAAAAATCAAATTTTCTTTTGGAAACCAAGGTTTATTTTCTCACAGTGTTAGAAGGTTTTGCATGAAGGAATGCCCTGCATATAACACTATACTTGAGGACTCAAAAGCATTGGCCAGTTTGCTAGATGTGCTGGTACCCTGCTCTTTATTCTCCCAAACGTGGGTACTGTCTCATCCCATAGGCCCTGGGAATTATTTGAGAACTGGCATTTATTTCATTATTCTTAGGTTTTTCCTAATAAGATTCACCTTGGATTCTAAGCAGGTTCTAATGGAAATAATATACACTAAGAATAAAAAAGAACTCAGTGAACAAGTCCGTCGAGAAGAAAAGCTTATAGCCCAGCTGGTGTTGCTCAGTGGTTGAGCATCGACTCATGCACCAAGAGATCATGTTCGATTCCTGGTCAGAGAACATGCCCAGGTTGTGGACTAGATTCCTGTTAAGGGGACATGCAGGAGGCAGCCAATTGATGTTTCACTCACATCAATGTTTCTCTCTCCCTCTCTCTTCTTTTCTCTCTAAAAATCAATAAAAAATCTTTAAACACACACACACACACACACACACACACACACACACACACACACAATATCTTCCCAGGTTCATCTTCTATGCCCTGTGATGATAATAAGTACCCTATAAAGTAAGATGGCCTTTTATTTCCCCAAGTTACCTTGTTTAATTTTCAAAAAGGTTCTCCTGAGTTTTAGAATTTGATGACCCAGATTGTGGTTACATTATTCACATTCTTTGTGTGTTTTTTTTCAACATTTATCTTGTTCCCATCAATTAATATCCTTCCATACTAAAGTATGAGGTCTCACATTTATCGTAGCCCCTCATCCTCTTAACATTTAGATAGACTCTCTCTGAACCCTCACCAATTTTTTGGTGATCTTTATCATTACCAAAAAAAAGTCAAGAGTTAGGAGACTAGGAGATGTTCAGAGTGTTGTTGTTGTTTTTTAACTTCTAGGGAAGTCAAATTGGAAGGCTTTTCTATGAGTTCAATTTTTCTTACCATGTGCTACGTTTAGTGAGAGAGTTTGGAGGGAGGAGGAGGCCTAAGGGAAACTCTTTCATTAAAGAGTGAGCCATTGCTTCTTAGAGACTAATAGCCATATTCCATTACCTCATGGAGAGGGGGGAATTACTCAGCCTCAGCCTTTAGTCTTTCAGTTTCCACTCTTGGGGACTGTATTATTACCTTGTAAAACAGAGCATCTCTCCTATTAGCATTAATTGAACCCATCTTTTTCCTCTGTGAGAAGCTATAATGTTGACTTTTATTTTCAGAGCCCTGTATTGAGCCTCTTCACTTTGGAAACTGATGGAGCTCAGCCACCAGAAATTAGCTGTGAGGGCTTTGAGCATAGCGGGAAGCAACTTTTGGGGTATCAGGAGTTATATATATATCTCAATAACCTTTCTTGAGTTATTCTGTCCATCACTCTGCTTTACTGTAATTCAAGCCTTTGTGAAGATGTGCTGATTATTATAAGTTCTCTGTCTTTTAAATCATTAGTTGAAATGAAATGTTTTATGGTAATAAAATGGAAAATGGCATTAGATACAAGAAAATAATTTCTACCAGTCTCCCTCTTTTGGCCAGATTTGAGAACAACCCCAAAAGGCCTTTCTGGGCTCAGGACTCCCACCAGTGTCCAAATGAGATTCAGACCTATGGCTCCTCCAGAGACCTATATATCAGACGAATCCGTTCTTAGCCTGGAGACAGAATTGAATAATTAGTCCACTGCCAGCAAATTCCTTGGCAGACTCTCCAAAAACTTTGTAGAGACTTAAGATAGACTTGGATATGAAGCACTCTTTAATTTCCTTTCTACCAGGAATATCACTTTAGAAAATAAAAAGTATTTTATTTTTGTTTACCACTGGCTATTTATTGCATAGATATTTTAATACTTCTCTATAAGCATATCTACACCTCTCCAATCTGTAATGTTTTATGTTGTGTGTTCATGTATATCAGTAACAAGAAAATAGGCCAGAAATTTGATTATTTGTGTGTGTTCTCTCTCTCTCTCTCTCTCTCTCTCTCTCTCTCTCTCTCTCTCTCTCTCCTTACCATATATAGCATAAAATCCAAAGCAAATAAATAATAAAATATACTAGAACCCACTCCCTTCTCTCTCCTCCCTCCTCCCATAGGAACTAACCACAATATACAGACAAAAAAACCTTCATTCTCTAGCAGTTTCTCTGACTATATTATCAGAATTTCATAGAGCTTATACTGCTATGAGCTCCCTGCAATTCTGATCTGCAACTATTAGCTAGAGCCTACATGGAAGGGGGCCATCTCTAGGGTAATAGCATTGTAAATTACAATCAATGCACTCAATTACACTCAGAAACCAAAATATATGTAGTGCTCCAGTGTGCCTTGTAATCAGCACCTTTGAGAATGTAGGTAACAGCATTCTGAACAAAAAATAGGAGCTGAATATGTTAGAACACGAAGGGTGGAATTAAATCATCATTCTGATAGGAACAGCACCTTATATGGCAGACAACTTTTTTCTCATATAATTTTATTGATTTTTGTAAAAAACAAAATTGTGGCCTTTTAGCCAAGAATGTCTTTAAAACTCATTTATTGCTTTAATCAGCCTGGTAGAGCCTTTCTGTCATGCTGATAAGGAAATTAAACTTTTCTCATACTGGGTTTACTTGCCTCTTATGAACAGATGTTTTGTTTTTCTTTCAGGGAACTAATTCAGAAGCTGAAATCGTTCATCAGCTTCTATAGTGCTTTGCCTGGCTACATCTGCAGCCATAGCCCTGTGGCCGAAAACGATACTCTTTGCTGGAATGGACAAGAACTTGTGGAGAGGTAATCTTTTTTGAATGATAAATATAGCAATGTCTGAGGAATAATCATCATACATCCATCTCAAGGATAATTATGTCTTCTCTTACCTCCATTAATTTCACAAGAAAAATTTTAGGAAAAACATACATATGAGCATCTATGACATGCCAGATGCTTTCTGTAACTTATAGACCTCAGAATTTACAAACTTGGAAGCACATAGAGAATTATATATTCAATTGTTGGCTTCTTCCAGCTCCTAATTATGTTGGCCCATATTCATTGATTGATTAGAAGAAATCATATTCATACTAATAGCTTTAATTTATTGGAGTTAACTACATATTAAGCACAATAGTAAGTATTTGTCTCTATTAACTCTCTTTATCCTTACACCAATCCTGTGAAATAGATACCGTTATTTTTTCCTGCTTTAGTGATGAAGGTGAAGGAAAGAAGAAAGGGGGGAAAAGGAGTACTATTTCACTGAGCAATTTTAATGAAGTATTTTACTATTTGTGTGTTTGTTAGTATAATCTGTTTTAACATTCATCATCGATGAAGAATGTGCTCATAACTGGAAAGGAAATAATATATATTCATTTATTCAGCAAATATTTACTGCGAACCTTCTAATTGCCAGTCATCTTGCAATGAATGAAACAGGAAAAATTTCCCGTCCTCACAGAGCTTTCATTCTAATGGGCTAATTGGCTTTGCATGTATAAGGAATAGCTTGCAATTAAGGAATTAAATCAGGGAGGCTGAATGCTTAGGACACCACATGGAGTTAAGGAACATGCTTTTAAAAATGTTTGTACAAGTGGTAGCATGTTTTAGAGGATGTACAGAAGAGACCTGAACTCGAGTTCTGAATCTTTTATGGATTATTAGTTGCTTAATCTAGGGCAAGTGACTTAACCTCTCTGAGCTTTGCTTTCCCCATCTAAAATATGGTATGGTTGTATTAGAACCCCTCTGCCTCTGACAATATGTGTGTTTTTCCTCATTCATTCATTCATACTTTCAACATTTATGTTTTGAGATACTATATGTTAGGCACCAAACTAGGTGCTAGGGATATGATTGGTGCTAGGGATATGAGCGTGAACAAGACAGGCAAGTTACCTGCTTTGAGGAGCGTACATTGTAGTGAGAACCAATATCAGGACATAGGATAATTAATCATGAAGCTAAATGGAATTAAATAGCAATGTAATGTAATGGACAGAGGAAGGCTTTGAAGTCAGAGGAACTTGAGTTTGCATCTCAGTTCCGCTGTTTACTGTGTGTGGCTTTGGGTGAGTTACTTAGAAAGGCTGAATGTCCTTCTCTTTAAGGGAAGGATATCTCACAGGGTCATTGTAATTGTTAGATGAGGTCATAAATCTAAATCCCCTAGCAGACTGGTACACACTAGAAGTTCAATTCAGGTTACTTCTCTTCTTTCTCCCTTCCCCCTCTACCCTCTACCCTCTACCCTCCTCTTCTCAATACAAGGTAAAACACATGCATGGAAAATAGCTTGTTTCTCGACTAAGCTATTTTACTGAACTGAGACAGTGAGAAGGAGATGCTAATGAGACTGAGGTTGGATGCCACCCTCTATGAGGCACTGAACTTGCCTGAAGATACTTTCCTGTAGCAAATTCAAATCAGGCTGGAGGGATTAATGGTCCCAGACAGTCCACTGCACTCTGGAGGAATAGTGTATATTTATCATTCTAAAAGCTCATCAGGTACTAAATAGAATCATGAAAATATACCTATTATGACATATTTTTTGAATTGTCAGAATAAAGCATTTGATATTTGGCTTTCTATAAAGTAGATGCTTTAAAACAGGCATAAACTATAGTATTAAAAAGAAAATTCCCAAAGGTCAAATATATGGTTCTTGCGTAAACTTGATGAGAAACCATCCCAGTCACTCACCTACTAGTATGTTAGTATGGTGAAAAATGAACAACTCCAGAGTACTAATTTGTTTTAAGCAGCATATCTTCTAATAATTATCTCTTATTAAAAAGGAAATTTTAGTTTACAATATATTTATTTATCAGTGCAATCAATCATCCATTTATTTACTCATTTAACCAATATTTGAGCACCTAATATATATCAAGCACTAATATTGGTTTCTTCACTGTTGTGAATATTGAAAGCAAATAATGCAGTTTTAGTTCATTGCAAAGATCCAGTTTTAGTTCTGACCACACCTACATTTTGTAAATTAGTGGGATTTTTTAAATTGAATTTTGCTCATATATCCTACTTCATGTCCAGTATACTTTTGTGAAGGATGTTGCCCTGTGGCCGAGAAAGTCCTCTTGGTGGAACCCAAAGCCTGTTAGATTTGTATGGGTCCAAAGTTAGCTAAATGTACCTATGTTCCATTAAAATAACCCTGTTGACTGAAATATTTTTGTTTAATATGCTAGCTTCACATATCTTAGGGTATTGAACAAAATAATAAAATAAGTATTATGGTATGGAAAAAAGCTATTATTCCAAACTCCTGTTTATATACTTCTGAGAAATATTTTTAAACAACTTTAATTGTTGATATATATTCTCCAGGAAAGGAAGGAAGGAAGGAAGGAAGGAAGGAAGGAAGGGAGGGAGGGAGGAAGGAAGGAAGGAAGGAAGGAAGGAAGGAAGGAAGGAAGGAAGGAAGGGAGGAAGGAAGGAAAGGAAGAAGGGAGGAAGGAAGGAAGACAGGAAGACAACAAAAAGAGGAAAGGAGGAAGAAAGAAAATCAAGCATATTAGTAGACAGAATAAGGATAATGTAATCCAGGAAGTAACTCTTTTGTTGTTAGTACCCTCAGGTTATAATTAACTCATACTTAAATTACTGACCTAATGCAATGATGGGACTAGGGAATAGTGTCAAACTAGATTTTTTAGAAATTACTTATCAATATACATTTAATAATATGAAGTTCCGTAGCCTGAGGACGTGTGTGCCCTCTATTTGTACCATTTATTAAGGTTAGTTTTGTACTACATGTCTCATCTATATATAGTTAAAACCTTTTCAGAGCTTTTCATTGAATTTCTCATTTAATTTAGTCTTAAGTAACAGTTGCAACTTCATATTGTCAATAGATTGTAACTTCGTTATTTTTATAGGTTAGGTTTGTGTTTATTTAAAAATATTTTTCTTTTAGTCAACAAAATTTATAAAGTTCAAAGATCCTAATAGAGAATGAGACTTGCCAGTGGAGATACCTGATTAAAAAAATATATTGACACTGAAGAAAATATAAATATCCATATCAGCTATGTTAGCAGAGCTATTTATAACCCCCTACTATGGATGTACAGATCTCTCAACTTTTAAAAAGTTAAGTAAGTCATTGTATCTCTAAATAAAGTCATATTTCACATCCTTTTCATTTTTATCTCTTATGAATCCAATCAGTAGAAAGATAAATGAGGAGAGGGTTTTCACAGATCTAGTCTCAGGGAGTACCACATAAGCCTATCATTTGTCCTCACCTCCCCACAATCACCCCATATTGGCTTCCAGGATTTAGTCAGAATCTTTGAATTAGCAAGCTTGACTTATATGAAATTTTCTCTTTCATGTAAGCCACTGTTTATACTGTGGGCAAAGGTTTCCTGTAATTGCCAAAAGCAGAAAATTCTCCAATTTTTGCCTTTGTGAAACTGCAGAGCATTTCAATTAGAGAATCCCTAAGACCAAGAGAAAAGAACCCATGGAAGTAAGCTAACTGCATTGGCACTGAAAATACATATATGAAGAATGAACAGTTTAGTAAATACATTCTTAAACACCTTTTTAGAACTGTTAGGCCAAATCCTATTTAATAAAGAGCTAATATGCAAATGGTCATCACACCTTCATGTCATCATGCTGTAACTGCTCAGACACTCAACACTGGGGAGAGAGAAATGGGGACCAGCCAGGCCCAAATGAGCTCGTGAGAGGAATGGGGACCAGCCAGGAACAAATGAGCTCGTGAGAGGAATGAGGACCAGCCAGGAACAAATGAGCTCCTGAGAGAGGAATGGAGACCAGCCAGGCTGCGGCCCGGGAGAGGGACAAGCCACCCACCCTGTGGTCCCGGATGCCTGCGGCTGTGGCCGGCCAGGGCGAAGCCGGCCCGGGTCCTGGGTGCCTGTGGCCAGCCAGAGGGAGGGAAGCCCAGGTCCTGGGTGCCTGCATCTGGCCGGAGGAGGGAATCCTGGGTCCCGGGTGCGGGGCGAGGCAGAGGCAGTTAGGGGCAATCAGGCCAGCGGGGGACCAGTTAGGGGCAATCAGGCAGACAGGCAGAGGGGTTAGGGGTGATCAGGCAGGCAGGCAGGTGGGTGCTTAGGAGCCAGAAGTCCTGGATTGTGAGAGGCAGTCGAACATCCCCCGAGGGGTCCCGGATTGGAGAGGTTGCAGGCTGGGCTGAGGGGACCCTCTCCATGCATGAATTTCATGCACCGGGACTCTAGTCCGATATAATAAAAGGCTAATATGCAAATAGACGGAATGGTTGAACAATCAGTTGCTATGACATGTGCTTACCACCAGGGGGTGCACGGAACATGGTGGGCATTGGCAGCAGGCAGCAGAGAACGGGACATGGCGGGCATTGGCCACGGTGGGATGGTGGAGCCGGTGAGCAGGGGTGCCAGACCAAGGCAGGGCACCAGTTGCTGTCATCAGGGTGAGCCTCTGGTGGTTACTGAAAATTCTTTGCTCCTGTGTGCCGTAGTCGCACCCGGCGCTCACACCTGCTGCCGGTCCCGATCTCTTGGTGCCATCAGTGGGTAGGAGCGGCAGCTGCCAGCCCTGATCACCCATGAGGGCTTCTCCACCTCCCTCTGCTCCTGAGGGGCGATTGGGGCAGCAGCTGCCACTCGCCCCCACTAACAATGCAGGCCCCACTCACACCCGCTGCTGGCACCGGCCCCAATCACTCTGTGTCGTCAGTCGGTACGAGTGGGGCCAGGGCTGTCAGCACATGGGAGTGACAATGGCAGGAGCGGGGCTGCCAGCAGACA